ATTTTCAAGAAAATTGCATTGAAAGGTTCCATTGTTCCCTGGCGCGCATTATGTATCCAATGTTCTCCCTCACGTAATATAAATCGTACGAATTTGAAATTTGTCACACGTATGAATCATAGGTATTGGATCAACTTGTATTAATTTCTGGTGAAAATGTTAAAATGTTTTTCAAATGGAGGCAGTTTTCTGCATATATGCCCTTTTGCTGGGAACATTTTGGTCATTACGCGCTATTGCATAAGGGCATATGCACATATGCCCTTCTGCCGGGCACACGACGAATTGCATTGTGAATGTTGTCGTCAACGTCCATGCGAGAATGTAACAATATAAAATAGAAATGTTTTACTGCACAATCCCCCCCCCCAAAAAAATATATATATCAAAATATTCACTCTGTAAATGTAAAGGAGTGACAAAACGCTCTCAATGTTCTTCCTGTCTTACATTCCTTTAAAAAAAACTGAAACCTCAAATTCCAAAGGTAGGAGTCACACAAAATAACAAACTTTCGTGAATATTTTCATTGGGTTGCTATAAATTGTTTCCTTTTTTGTGGTGTGTTATATTTAAAGATGCATTGCTCGTGCTACTTTCGAGTTTCACGTCAAAAAATAATTATTTTCCATGCATTAAAAAAGTTACCCTCTCTTGAATAAAGACATCGAACAAAAAATCCAATGATATTTAGTCAGTGAACTATTTCTTCACAAAATTTGAATATCAGCTGCCAGTAATATGCAGACAATAAGTCGAGGAGACAAGTTGAAAATTCTTTAGAAGAAAACATCTTACTATAATTCCAGGAATCTCTGTCTATCTGTCTGTCGGGCTGGCTGTCCGTCCGTCGATTATCTCCAGAACCGGGCACCGTGTGAAGTTGAATTTGGCAGGCATACTGCTCGGGACACCAGAATGTGCAGTGCAAAGTTTAAAGTTGTTTGGACGAGCGGTTCTCGAAAAAGCTGCAAAAAAGCAGCATTTTTTAGCCTCAACGTGGCAGATTATATACCTCACACGCGCAGTCCTTTTCAATTGTTTACGTCATGTTTGAGCTAAAGTGCGCGTGCTTAATATGACGCAACAATGGAAAAAAATGGGCACACGCATTGTAGGGCAATTATTGTTCAGACTATTTCTGGAACTCACGTAGTGAGTAGCTGCACGGGCACATGCGTTTTGCAGGCGACTGAGCAACCGTCACTATAGGGCGATACCATTGTCCAGTATGGTTGAATATCAGTGCCGGGGATGGCCTGGCGACATGTACAAAGTGCGCTCAACCTGTGAGTTTAACCTGTGAAAACAACACAATTGAATCGTGTGCGTTGTTTGCATGATATGAGCATTTTGAAATTGCCCCTACCGAACAGGTGCATTTTTTTGACGGGCCCTGCACCAGTCTTACTATAATTCCAGGAATCTCTGTATGTCTGTCTGTCCGTCGATTATCTCCAGAACCGGGCACCGTATGAAGTTGAAAATCGGCGGGTGTATTGCTCGGGGCCACAGAATGTGCAGTGCCAAGTTTGAAGTGGTTTGGACGAGCGGTTCTCGAAAAAAGCTGCAAAATAGCAGTATTTTCGGAGGCAAACGTAGCAGCTTAGAACATAACACCACGCACTGCCATTATTTTCAATTGTTTGCGTCATGTTTAAGCTAAAGCGTGCGTGCTCAATATGACGCAAACAATGCAAAAAGGACGGGCACGCGCACGTGCATTGTAGGGCGATACATTGTCCAGTATGGGTGAATAGCACTGCATACCATGTTTCCGTATGTACACGGGCACATTATTTTTGCAGTCTACTGAGCGGCCATTGTAGGTGGTCGAACTTCAAACTTGGCGCAAACTTTGACGTAAGTGTGCGTTCAACCTGTGAAAACAACACCATTGAATAGCGTGCGTAGTTTGCACGAGAAGTTCTCAAAAACTCTGCTAGAGTATGCAACCTATACCAGCGGACAAGCAATTTGCGTTTCCCGAACATGCACATTTTAGACGGGCACTGCACTAGTAAAAGCAAATTACAGTTTATAACTGAAAGTCAGTCAAAATTCCTCCCCCTTAAAGGTAGAACAGTTGCCTTTTTACAATAATTGTTCGGTGTTAGTATAAGCATGTAATGTAGGTGTTGTCACCGCTAAATTTCAAGGTCAGATCCTGAATTGTTTGTTTGTTTGTTTGTTTGTTAGGGTGTTTGTTTGTTGGGGTGTTGGGGTGTTTGTTTGTTTGTTTGTTTGTTTGTTTGTTTTGTTGGGGTGTTTGTTGGGCGTTTGTTTATTTGTCTGTTTGGGTTTTTGAGGGGGGACTCATTAGACTCTCTGATACATTATTTTTCCTTGTTTATCTCTCTTTATTTATATGGCACAACTATTTCAGAATGAGCAGCATGGATTTAAAACAGTCGCCTGTACTCCTTTGGCTACGTAAGAAAAAAAAAAAACTTGTCGATTGAGGGCACCCCCCCCCCCCGAATTTGTATTGTACATATGCGGCTTCATCCCTTAGTCAAAAGCTGGCCTGCATCATTGTGGCTTTGTAAAAAAAGCTACCTGGTGATAGACCACAATAGATTTGGTGATAGACCACAATTGTAAGGATTAATATGTGCTACATGTTTAGTAGTGTAGCGGGATCCTACTGGGCTCTTGTCCGCCAAATCCGGACAAACGCAAGAAAAGGGGACATATACAGACGGAATTTCTAACTCTGAAGGAAGATCTCATTTATTTCGCCAAGCGGACTCTGCGGGCAATTTGCCGCACCGCTACCAGAACTGCAACTGATCAATTCCCAGCATAGACATGCACACAGTCTGAACAAATGTATACAATTGTAGCAACTTTACTCAACCCTGGAATCAAGCCAAGCCCTACCTGCGAAAGTGAACAAAAGAACCCAACTTAGCCAACCTATTTGTAGTGCCTAAACCAGGTCAGATGCGCGCCGCCGGAGCCCCTCCGCCGGAGCACTAGTGTACATAGTATACATTATTTCAAATGGCTAAATTCCTTCAAGGACTACTAAAAGCACCCGTTGTCCTAAGTCATTATAATAACCACTACATACTTATTTACACAATTAAAAACAAAACAAAAATATCATTACATTTCACTCGATCAGATATTGTTATAATCCTATTGGTAAGAATAGACTGTTTTGTAGCTACAACGTGAAATCAAGCTGTTTCCAATTTTTATTTAATTTGAAACTTGTCATTTCGACGGTGTTTTCACGAAGTGACAAAAACCTCAATATCATGCAAAAGGTCATTCCGAGATAATCACATTTGGAGTTAATCTTTTTTCAACTAGTTTTTAGTGTTGGATTTAGGAAATTCTTGCATTGTTAAGTAACGTATGGTTTGTTCTTTGCTAATTCAAAGTTATTAGAAGTCTATCTTAATTAAACTGTTATTCATTAATAAAGATCAAATTAAGATATCCTTCACTTTAACCCAGAGGCCTCACTATTTTGTCCCATTCAAGCCAGAGTCCATCATTTGCAGTTATCCAAAAAGTAACTGGCGTAATTATTGTTAAAAAACACATACTCGATCGAAAGATAGTAAGGGGACTAAACTCCCTGTGAAATTATTCTTTCTGGCAAGCTGTCATTTTGAAGAAATCAACAAAAGAAGGCCTTTCCAACGGTGCTTCGTAAGACGCACCGTAGGAAATTTAAATTAGTGGTTAGTTTTGTTATTCAGCGAACCGCGCGCAAGCATCTTCATGCGCGACATCGCGTAGCTGCAATCGGCTCAGTGAGAACGTATCTCGGACGCTGAATTCTGGCCCAATAGACCGCTTGCAGACGTGTTCGATAATCGACGCGCGAAGGTGCGCGACGCCATGTTGTGGGTCAAGCGTATATCTATCCATGCACATTTTGTCCCACAACATGGCGTCGCGCACCTTCGCGCGTCAATTATCGAACGCGTCTGCAAGCGGTCTATTCAAAACATGATCCAGCAACTTTTGATTTGAAATCGAGATCATACAATGCTGTTTTGCTCGAAATATACAGCTGAAGCTGAGCTGAAACTTCATCAGGTTATTTGTCCAGTACCCTTCTTTAGATTTTGAGCACGTTTGTTTCAAACGAACAAAATGCACACTCTTCGTCACTTCGTAAACATCATAAAACGTTCTAAGAAATTGTTACATTTGCGCGTCTTACGCACTGCAGGGCGCGCGCGTCTGTTCTTTATCGACATGCGAGGACGCCCACTCCCATCCTAATAGCGTGTGTATAGAGAAATGCATTATTCCTCTGGCCCTGCATGTAACGAGATAAGTTTCTGTCGGCTTCGCGAAAGCAGAAAGAGCACGGTTTTTAGTTTTTTTAGTCAAATGTTTGTTTACGATAATTACAAACGTAAACAATATTTCGCTTTGAAACTCGGCCAATTTCTTCTTGTTGTCAAGTGCTGTAAATTGGCTAGCAAAAGTCAAAATAAAAAAATTATCGATTTCGCAGGTTTTTGTCACTTCGTGAAAACATTGTTTTTGGTTTGTACAATGCATTTTTTATTTGAAATGAATCAGGTTTTTGTCTATTTCCATCAGACCATGTTCTCAACAACATTGAGTTTCTCTCATTCAAGCCAAAACCTTCATCCTATATTATTAAGTGGAAATACTGTTAGTGAGTATAAGCCAAGGTTTGCCAGAAACAGATTTTCCCAGATGTGGGGGCATCTTTCGTATTTCAGACCTACACGTATGTTTAAAATTAAAGGTTTCAACTTCTTATTGTAAAAACTCCATTATTTGACTAGAGAACAGTCGAACTTGCACCCAAGCTGACTACAGCTGTAGCGTCGCACAAGTTGGTGGAAGTTTGACTATTTTAGTCCAATTTTACTTGAGTGTTTTCAAAGTGTAATGTTCCAAGTATCCTTGTTTTGTCAACATAATGCAATACACTTAATTAACACCAGAATCTGCATGGTAAATATTACTGTATCAAAATAATAATGATTGAGAAACTGCTACAGGTAACACTGTTCTAGTTTTTGTGCTGCATGATAGTCTGCAATGATGCGACGCCCTGACCATTCGGTTCGATTTTCAATCAGTAACCATTCCAGCACCAATTTCAACCAAGCATAACCCTGTCTATTCTTGTGAGAAATACTCCATACTAAGGCTTCCAGATCACGCTGGCCATTATTCTGGAGAATCTCTGTCAATCTATCCTTCCTACTATCCAGCCCATGTTGATACAGAATCACTGTTGAGGTTTCCCAGCCCCACAGTAGTAAATAGTTGAAATACGCATCATTTTCACTGTTGTTGTGTTGCAACTCTAAGTTGTACTGCTTTTCCACAATTACTTTTAATGCAGGTCTCCAGTCGAAGTTATCTTTGCGTTTGAGAATCTGCATCAAAACAATTTCCCATTTATCCATCCCATGATTCTTGAGAATTTCTTTCAGTACTTCTCTTTTTCCCTTACTCCAATTATCTTTGAGAATCTGTTCTAAGTCATTTTCCCATCTTCCCTCTCTGTCGTCCAGGGAAAGTTTCAAGAAAGCAGTATCCAATCTATCCTCCCAATCTTTTATGAACATTTGCATTGATTCAGCAGACTGGTAAACCCTCTTATGACATGTTAGAATCCAATGTAATACAGTTTCCTGTCCAGACTCCCATTGTACTTCAAAAATCTTGTCTAGTAATTTCTCCCAATAGTCTTTTCCATAATGCTGCAGAATCTTAACAACAATGGTTTTCCAGTCCTGCCCTTCCATTGCCTTGAGAGTGACTCCTTGCGTCTTTAATTCTTTCAATCCTCTTTGGTGTGGCACATATATTTGAAAAACTTTGGCAAGTGTAATATTCACTTTTAAATCTGTGTGATCTTGCACAATTTGTGATATTCTGGCAGCACATTCTTGACAAGGGGAGTAATTAATGTATATGTCTATATTTGTCATTGAAGTGATTTTGTCACCAATCGAGTCTAAAGCAATTTGTTCTGCATGTGTTGTTTTGGTACTACTGTACAATATACCATTGCAAAGCAAAACGGTTCTTTTAGGTCTTTCGTCGTCCAGGGGACCTGTTCGGATGAATGATTCAATGTCTCTTGTGGCAGAACGGATCATCTCGTCCATCAAGTTGTCCCTGCAAAAACAAAAGGGGGACGGATTAATGGGACATAAAGGAGTGAAAGTAGCATGTTCACAGCATCATAAATGCAGAAAGTGTTGAAGGTATCTCTGAATTTTATTTCCTCAATAAAATAGTTAACTCATCATTGTTTCTCCCCGACATTAAAAACACAATTAAATAGTCAGTAATACTTAGATTAACAAAGAACGACTTCTGTATTGACGAAATGTTAATTCAGGTACATTTTGTGAGCACCAGTAAATCTGGAAAGATTTATAACTCACTGCTGGGATTCAGTTAGGCTGTCAGACATTCTTACCCGATCCGATTTGAACTGTATAAGAAATGATAAAAATGTAGAAATGTTGGGTGTAAACGTTTATTCATAAATACCTAAGACAGTTTACGCATTCCTATTGGTCGGGAGCCCGTCACGTGGCCGGTCTTAAACGAATGATAAAGACATGGCTAGCTGGTCTTAAACACTTTTCCAGTGTCAAATGAAATTTGGACTCCCATGAAATCCGGTGCCTTTTAACGTTTCATTGGTTGAACGTTCACATTCCTCACGTATGCATGCGCAATGTACTACCAGTGAATCAGTCTTTTTATTCTATATCCATGTACTACACCAGCCCAGCTGCGTTTTGCGCGACATCGCGCAGTACTCGCGACGCGCACGCAATGTCCTTATAAGGTAACGAGTTGTGGAGGGGCATTCCATATTATAGTCAGAGGGGTGTTTCGTAGAAAATAAAGTAAAATTGTTGAACGAAATGGTTGGATAACGTTTAGTTTTTGACTTCTTTTGATTTTTGGAACGAAAAGATTCGGTATTTATGAATGGGAATAAATATGTTTTCGGTCGGTATTAAACACGCTATTAAAACCGGTATGAGTCTGGTTGGGTGATAATTACCCTTGGCTTCGCCTCGGGTAATTATCACCCATCCAGACTCACACCGGTTTTAAACAGAGTGTTTCAATACCTCCGAAACACACACATAAGCAAGACATATGCTCTTGCATTTAAGTTGAAAGGTAATACTGATATAGTTTGCAACAAGTTCAGTTTGTGATTGTCCCAATATGGCATTTACTATTATTCATAGTATTTTAATACGTTTATAATGTGGTGATAGAGTAGGTAGTTTAGACACTTGTGAATATAGATATTAACTATCATAAATCAGCAACAAAAAATCAAAGTTATCAAGGATTCCATGAACCCCATCATAATTGCATTTCCATATCAATATGGACCAATAATAGTACAATAATTTAGATTTGATAACTACAAATTATTCGCCCCCGGTTATCTCAAAAGAATTCCTGAGATTCTGGTAACACAGTGGCCAACACAAAAGGGGGGGGCTCTCTCGCATATCTTGCTACATTATGAACAATAATGTAAGAAAAAAGTGGCCTATTTAAAAGGAGTAAAACCTTCAATCATAGTTATGTTTTTGCAGATAACTGAAGTCAATCTTCTAGGAAGAAAAAAAAATAAAAATCCTCTAAGTTTGAAAGCTTTACCACTTTAACAATGTAGTTCTTCAGAAAGTTTAAGAATCTCAGGTGCCAGAGAAAAGCAAACACAATCCAAGGAAAAATTTGTAGCAGAAGCAGACAAAAATAAGTTGTTCAGTATCACGAACATTTTCAGATGATTTTTTTAAGGTATTTTATTTAATTATTTTATTTTATTCGGGAGAGGGTGTGAGTGTGTGCGTAACAGGTTGAGAAACTCTGAAAGTAATTGTGGCCTAATAATTGATCCAAATGATGTTAATTATCATTGACGAGTACCCAGTTTTGTTCTATTTTTGTCGCCTTCCTGGACTAATTTTCCGTATCAACAAGGGGTCTGATCATGTTAGCTCTTTTGGTACTATTAACATAATATTTACAGATATATTAAACTACTTCAATTCGCAGAATTACATGTACTAACCTCACAAATGAAGACACCACTGCACTAATCACGGCTTTGCGAGTTGTTTGATGAATGTCCTCAAAAATGGTAATGAACAAATAACTCATGTGTGTCACAAGTTAAAATGAACACATAAATAACCATGGAGTTTCGTAATGCTGTTTCGCAACTAATGCCGCGAGCTGCTTTTCACGGGAATTCCCTTATCCAGAAATACGTTCAATTTCAATGGATCGGATGATTTGTTTTCTACAAAGCATTGATTTTCCCATAAATTCAATGAAGAGATGAGCAGCACACTAAAGGACAGCCCCTACAAAAATATTTGAAGTATTGTGTACAACAATGACCTCAAAGCTTTCCTTTGTATATTTTTAATTTATGATGTTAAAGTTTATGTTCATCGGGTTAAAAAACAGGCTCGCTGTTCAATTTGGCCATTGGATGTATGACTGGTCAGCATTATCAATGATGTCATTGGGGCGGCGCTCATAAAACTAGTGCATTATGACATCACACATGCAGTCGATATGACTGCTGAATTCTATTTCTCACAGCTGTAATTTCCAGTATAATCCGTGCCACACTTAATTATTGGAATGACGTGCAGCTTCCACCTCGATAATGTATAACCGCTCAATTCTACACCAAGGGCGGATCCAGAACAATTTTTGGGGGGCCTATAGGGTTTTTTTTTTTTGTGGGTTTTTTTTTTAAGGGAAGGGCATTAAGTATAAAGAATCATGCGCTATTTCCACATTGTTGAAACAAACAGGTATGTGTAGTTTTTGCGAGGGAGATACGCAACGTTTCAATTTATTTCCTGAAAATTGAACAAAAAAATGTCTTCAATCCTCTGATAAAAAACCCCAAATTGTTGGCCCCGTTGCATTGTATGACTCATGTTGAGTGAGTTTATAACCGAGTCTTCTTGGGGTTTGTATTTACTTTCGTGAAAGTAATTGAGCGCTTGTATTTGCAACTTCATGCCACTTTAATACTGACATTGAGTATTTCTCAAAGTATTGGGAAAATTTCTCAAAGTGTTGAGAAAATTTTAAAAGTGCTTTGCTCCCTTGACTCGATTACTATTAGTGCAGTCTGCATTAATTTTGAAATTGAAACATTTGAACAAAATGAACTAAAGTTGCACCATTCTACATTTTGGGCAAACTATGTGGCATATGTGAATCTTTGTCACTGTTTTTTCTAGTTTTTTGAAGGTCCATGAATATCCTGATATATGTTGGACAAAAGTGGGGGAGGGGGCTGGAGGCAGTGGAGGATGGGAAATTTGGTGAATCGGGTGGGGGATGAAGGGGGTTGTCAAAAGTGTAAAGTTCAAACCTGTTATTGGCTCCTAACACAACTCTCTGTAAAATTTACATTATCAACAAAACCCAAAGTATGCTGTTTGGGACTTAAGCCCAACTACGCCGTATTGAGGAAAATCTACATATTACCGTTTAAACAACTCTGTCATTGAAAATGTGACTATTTATATCTAGGTGTCTGGCTAGATCCATCTCAGACATGGAATGTGCATATTGACAAACTTGTGAAGAATGTCAACAAACGTGTGGGGGTTCTCCGGAGGGTCAGAAGTGTTCTTCCTCAACCCTGATTCTTTCATATTTTGACTATTGCGATGCTGTATGGGGCAATGCTGGAAAAGTACTGCTGACCAAACTTGATGAAATCCAAAACAGTGCTGGTAGAATTATCATGGGCCTCCCCGAAGATCCCCCACAGACATACTTTATCTACTCTTAGATGGCAATCTGCATTAAAGTGAAAGAAAAGATCTTCACTTAACTACTATAGTATATAAGATTAAACATCCAACTGCCTCCTCAACATGCACTTGCATCTCGTAGAGTTAATTTATTCAATGATCTCCCTGCGACACTTAATTAATCCATTGCCTCCCACTCTCGCCACTTTTAAGAGCCTCTACAAGAACCTGTTAGTTTAATATTATATGGTAGATGTATGTCTTGTTGTTGTCTTTTTACTGCCAATGTAATAACCGTAATTAACCTTGTCTCATTTAACTGTTTATCAATCTTATTAGTTTTATCTTTGTAATGTTTTTACTGCTTGTTTTCCTATTTTTATAATATTGTCTGTTTGTGGTTACTGCTGGACACCTTTGAAAAACAGTGTTCTACTGATAAACAAGAAATAAATAAATAAATAAATCTTCTTTCCAAGAAAATGTTATTGTTTTCCCATTAACCGTTGAACTGTCACACTTAACTGCAACAGACTCAACCAGCTGATAAGGCTGCATTTGGTCTGCTCCCATGAGAAAATGAGGCATATTAAAGTTGTAGTTTCCGCTTTATGATTGCTTCTCGGCAGGATCTTGTTTCATCACAGGCTTCGCTTCCATGTTACTAGAATCGTCCAGAAACCAAAATTTGAGAGTTACAAATTAATTATTAGCTCATACTAATCCCCTTTGTCTCAATCTTAGGACCCTCAATTCAAGCTAAACGACATTTACTCTCTCCAACTTGGAACCTTCATGTATCAAATTGCCCACAATGAATTACCCATCTGCCTCGATTCAATATTTTCCAAAAACCGTCATATTCATGCATACTCTACACGCCAGGCTTCCCATTTTCATCTCCCATTTTCCCGTACAAATACTTCACTAAAAACATTCAAGTATCAAGGCCCCAAATCATGGAATTCCCTTCATACAAACTTGCACAATGCCAAAACTCTTTGTCTCTCCAAAAACAAATTTAAAGATTCTAAAACCAGTTCTTATTGGTCAGTTTAACCTTATGTACTAATTTATGTAACTTATATTTTTCTTATGCCAAGCTGCTTAATCCTGTTTGCTATTGCTACACACATTATATCGTTCCTTTGTTATATTTGTTTGTTTGATTTCATATTCTCATTACGTACTTCCGCTGATGACACAACTTATTTATGTATTTTTGTCCTTGTAACTGTTATTGTTTGTTCGTTATATTTCGTCTTACTTATCAAATTTAACTTGACCTATGCATAATCAAATAAGTCTCTTTATTTTCCAAACTTGTGTTGTCCAGGGGTCGCGTACTCAACAAGCTCTGCTTCCTACGGGTCCCCCCCACTTCACTGTTCTTATGTGTTTAGTATTTGTATTTCTGTGTTTGTTTATGCTGTAGTTTTGTTCTCTGCCTGTGTAAGAAGTGGAAATGAATGAATGAATGAATGAATTTATTATCATGCTGACATCCTGTTATAAATACCACCATTATCCTTGTACCCTACAACCAGTGGAACCAAAGAGAATTGATATGAACTGCAGATTTTTTTTAGTAAATCCAATTCATTTTAAATACTAGCATTACCCTTGTACATACAACCAGTGG